AGCTGTTTTTGTGTCCATCATTCTTAGTTACAAAGTTTAGCTGTATTTGTTTCCATCATTCTTAGTTACAAAGTTTAGCTGTATTTGTTTCCATTATTCTTAGTTACAAAGTTTAGCTGTATTTGTTTCCATTATTCTTAGTTATAAAGTTTAGCTGTATTTGTTTCCATTATTCTTAGTTACAACCTGTACTCTAGGTTGTTTCGATATTCCACAATTCAACGATTTACATGACTCGCTTTGATTGGTTTAAAGAAGTATCTTCGGGCCAGGCCTTTAGTAGAAAATTTCTGAGATCAAAACGTAGACTAAAAAATAGAAAACATAAAGGATGAGAAATTCTAATCTAATTTTACTTATATTGCTTCTTTAGCCACAGAGGGATCATTCCATCTGTCTCCAGCATTATGGGACAAAATCAAGTGCAAGCTTGCTGTCTCCAGCTTTATAGGACAAAACCACCAAGTCAAAGCTGGCTGTCTCTAGCATTATAGGACAAATGCACCAAGTCATATTGCGTCATATTTCACATTTTCAATGAAATTTTGATATGAATTGAGATTTCAGTGAATTTCGGTGAAAGATTTAAACAAAATGTACCAAAATTTCAGTAGTATTTTGTGAAATGTCAATGGATTTTGGGGTGAAAATTCAATGATATTTTTGTAAAATTTCAATGATATTTTGGATTTGGTTGGTGTGCAAAATTCTGTTAAATAAAAATTCTGTATCATATCTATCATTGATCTGTTGGTATAAGATATTAATTTACAGTCGTCAAAGAAACATCTGTTCAGTGGGAGATTTTGCATTTACTATAAATACGTGACCAAATCTAGCATTCGACAGTGTATCAACAAGTCTTTATAAATATAATATAAACAGGTCTTGCTAACGTTAAAACCATGAATAACCTATTATGTTCCGCTCTGTTGATTTCAGTTATACTTATTCTTACAGACGCAGGTAAATATTTTATTTTTTATCTAAAAGTTGCTTTATGAATCTAAAGTCAAAGTTTGTATACCTGAGCGAAATTTATGTTAGCTTTTTTTATTGTGGGAAGAGTCCGAGTCAGAAGAAATTTACTCAAGACAACTTTCTTTTCAGCAGCATGNATAACTAGCTTAAACACATTTTAAATCATCTTTGTCTGTAAATAGTAAATTAACATGTAGTTCTTGAGACAAATACTTGATGATATAATTGTCG